GTGAACTAGCATTCCCAACCTTTGACCTTTGACTTGAGAAATAAGAAAAGAAAAGGCAGAGGTGACAAAATAAGACTGCATCTGGGGTTTGGGCATGCCAGCTTATGATAAAAACAGTTGAATATGAGCATATTTTTTCACATTGTGGACCTTTCTCACAGCAGACATTTAGGCTTGTTAAACACAGGGTCCATCCAGGAGTTCCAGTGCCAGGACCCCTGTGTTGTGCATGCTGGCCCACTCATATGTAGGCCTTATTCTTTTTCCCTCTCTTCCCTTAAGTCACTCTTTATTCCTACATTGCTTTCTCAATTTATCTTTCCATCCACTTGTCTGTCCATTCCTCACTCTCCTTAATTGTTCATCCTTCTCTTAGGAATCTGGTGTCAGTCGTCCAGCAGCTTTACCAGCGTGTCATTCGACTGCTGCGCACCACTCTCTGATCCACAACCCTTCCTGTGTTTAAACCAATCACTCCGGACCTGTATTGCCACTGTGGCAGATGTGGCTGTTTTCGAACATGCCCTCCGGTAGTGCATCGCCAACTAAAAAGAAGAAAAAGAAGAAAGAGGAATGGTGTCACTCCACTCTTGGACTGTGAAGTTTCCACCAATTGCCCTGCTGTGTTCACCACTGCATTACTCTGACTGTAGATGAGGAGGCGACAAGCATGTGAAAATTTTATTATTTTTACTCAAGTAGATTGTGGGTATCTGCTGTGTGAGATGTGAGTGAGGTGGGAAAGACAGTTGTGTTTTAAATGCATTTTGAGGGTTCAGTGCAAGAGTGAAGGCTCAAGAAACAGGCTTGTAACCATGAGGTTGCTGGTTGAAATTCATGGCAGTATTTTTGTAATATATGAAGGTTCAAAATGCAAAATCTTCCCTTCATTAACAGCTGCCACAAAGCTGACCCTGAGCAAGGCAGAAAGCTTTCAGTGTGGCTGCACTGTAAAGGGAAGCAGCACCTGTGGTCTGAGTGTGAGAGTTGTTCAGAAAGAAGCTTGTAACAGACATATTAGATGTCTTCATGGGTCCAAAACGTGGGAAAACTTTCTCAGACTTATCATGTCATAAATTAATTTTTTAAGGAAAGATTTGAAAAAGAGGCTGGATCTAAAAAGTGCCCGAGGATAATCAGATCCAATATAGAATGTGGTTAACCCAAATAGACCCAAACAAGAGACAGAGGATTAGCACTGGCAGCAGTAGGAAGCAGGAGTAAAAAAGAGTAGTATTTTTCCTGGACACACCATGTGATCAGAGTGGATAGCAAAGCCTCTTGGATCCATCAGGTAACAGACACATTGATACACAGACCTGAGACCTCACCAGCGGGCCCTCTTGTACCCAATCTGACAGAATATATTGGACCCAGCTTGAGTAGGAAGAGGACCTGTGAAGACCTCTACTTAAGTACACGTATTCCACATCAACACTTGCCTTGTGCCCTTGCAAGTACATGACACTGTCCAAACATGTGTTTTTACCTCCCTGTGGAGCTGAAAGAGCTCTATGAGGATAATACAGCAAGAGACACGTCAAATTCCACCACAGGGAAAGAGAAACCACACACATCAGATGAGACACATTTGCCTTGTTGTTGCTATAATGCCCTTAACTATGTGAGAGAAACTACAGCTCATAGTTACATAATAAGAATCTAAGGTGTCATATTTCTGAAGGCAACTGTGCTAATGTATCTTTGCATAACTAGAAGCATCCTCAATTGTTTTTGTATGTAGGGCTTTAAAATTATTTTAGGCCAAAATGCTACATATATGACATACACAGGCTGCAGCTGAAAGGTTGATTTTTGACATTGCAGATGATATATAATAATAGTACACTGAAGGGGGAGATTGGGAAACCTCAAACATCTAGTAGCAGAGAGGCAATAGCTTATGTTATTAAAACAGTACTCTATATAGAATCAGTTTTACTGCTATGTAGTTGGCTGGGTGACAAGTCCTCACATGACACATGTCACTGCATATGCGCTGATCGGGGAGCTCAACAGCAGGATGAAGACACATCTGCAGCACTTTAATTGTTGGTTGTCCCAAATAATCAAAAAAAACAAACAAAAAAAAACAAATTTTCTCACTTACTTACAGTGGTAGCATGCAGATACTGTTGTTTTGGTCAATGCAGGTTTTCATTTTGTGAGATTTGTGTCTCTATGCCAGTACAATAGAGGTGAATGGACTTTAGTTTGTGGTGCTAACAGCGAAAAAAACCTACACAGAAGAATTCCACAGCAAAATGTATTTCCAATATCCCTGTTACTCTGGATAATTCACAGAACACAACGGTTTTCGTAGGGACTATTATTCCGTAGAAAATAGTTTCAACGAAAACAGAACTCACAGTGAGATCGCTTGTCAGGAAAACCGAAACATGGGTCATGTTTAGTAATTGAACAGGAAATGGTGATGTTTTGTTTTTCTAGGGACAGATCAAAATGGATGGATGGTGCAATAAAAATCAACATGTTTAGTCTTTTCAGGCTAAAAGCTGCTGGTCTGAATTTGAATCGAATTGTGTTTGTAAAATGTGTGAATGAGTAAAGTCTGATTCACACTTAGGGAAACAACCACAAAGAAATATTTAAATCTGTGATGCATTTAAAAAGAGAAAAAGAGAAAACACATTTACAAATCAAAGTTGTAAAAAAGAAGGGATATGATAACTCACTGGTTATTTGTTTGTAATAGAACTGATAGCTGAAGACATATCATTTAAAATACTTGGGCAACAAGTTATGTGAATGTGCTATAATATTAACTGCTGCCTAAAGAGATGATCTACTTTTGCATGGCTCTGGGTGTCAGTGTTGCTGTGGTGACAACTTTTTCACACTTTTGTATAGACTGAGTGAATGTGTAACACTCCCAGCATTAGCTGCTCCACCCTGGAGGGTTTGATAAAAAATAAAAAAAGAAGAGAGAGAAGTTTGCTTGCATAAAACCTCCTTAGCTGTTAAAAAGTGGTGAATAAAAACTGGGCTATGACAGTTGTCTATTGAGGTGACATGACTTTAATGTCCTGTTCTCTCACTGCAGTCAGTCCCTAAACATAATAGGACATACAGCAGGTGTGTTGCAATGGGATACCTTCAATGACTTAATATCATTATTTAAATATAACAAATACACTCCAATAAAACAAAACAAATTTTCTTAAAAAGCATGTGTCATTGGCTTATTTATGTATAATAGTGTGTGCGTGTATATAGTGTATTAATTAAATATTTATTGAGCTCTTATGAGAGCAGTCCTAGATTGCATTGCTTATAGATACAGCAGAAAACAACTTGTTGAAGTTTAGTCTCTCCGAAATTGTAGCAGAGCATTTAAAACACCACCAGTATCTGCAATGTTAATAGAAATGGGGGAAATGCCTCTATGAATCCTGCAAAGGCCATTTTACAGGACTGACCCCAAGTCTTTTCAGTTTTGAGTGGAAAGGGAATGCTAAGGTGGGCTAAAAGAGAGAAAAAGAGAAACTTCTGGTACCAAAGTGGACAACAGTACAAAACTATATCCAGACAAAACTAAATCCAGACACAGGTGCAGCATTCTTCGCCCCTCTTTGTGAGGTAGCAGTAAAAACAGAGAGAATCAGACCATCTTGCAGTGTACACAGCTAAATTACCTAGAATATTGTTTGAATTGAGGGTGGAAGAATATAACCAACCAAGTGTTGTAATTGCTTAATAGCTTGTCAGAGCTTTCAAGCATTAAGTCATAAAAACAATCCTGCAGGCAGGATATTGTGTATTACATTTCTGCTACACAGGCTACATTATAGGGGATTGGATACCTCGTTCATTTTAGTAAAGCAGAGGTTAAAACTATTATTAAGAATTATATGGACAGAATCTTGCAGGAATACTTGGACTTGAGTGCCACAGGAAGACATCTTTCCAGTATTCAAAAACATGTAGATGTTGGTGGAATACGAAGTGGGAGGAGATGGTCATTACTCGTCTAAGAATAAGGCATGCAGGATTAAATCAAATGCACTGTTACTGGACTATACACACACACTATAACTGGAAACTGTCATAAATCTACTAAAAGATGGAAACAAATATGACGAAGAAATAAGGGAATTAATAGTAAATTTAAATTATATAAATCACAATATTACATTGGGGAATATCCCAGGAAAAACGTAATGGAATATACGCAATCTTCAAATTAATTACTTAAGAGTAAGATGAGGGTGAGTAGGACACTGGTAGACAACTTTGTAGAGTGGTCCGAACAGAATCACCTGAGGCTGAATTTCAACAAG